CCCCGTTATTATGAAAAAACAATTTGTTAAATCATCTGTCTATTTTACACATGCTTTCACTTGATACCAGATATATTTTTAATAAATAAAAAAATTTTTTTAAATAATGATCATTGAGGTCTGAATCTACAGAAAATAATACATCTATTCCACATATAAAGAAAAGTTAAAAAAATAATGACCACCACGGAATACACATTCGGATTTGAAGTTTTCGATGCGAGAATAAAAAAAAAGCTAAAAGTGTAAAACCTCCATTATCCAGCATCGAGATTCCTCCATATTGATCCACAATTGGCATTAAAAAGAAAAATGAGATATCCAAAAAAATCATGTATAGTAAAATGAGAATTCTGCATACAGTTCTGCAGCTTGCACGACAGTGCAAGAAACATAGGAAAAAAAAAAATAATAATACGTCAATTAAAATTCTCTAAAAAAATTCCCCCATTCCTTTTACCCGTATCTAATGCGTACTGTCAATTTGGAAAGCGAAACGGAAAGCGAAAAAAAAGCAAAAGAGTAGCAACCACGTGAAAGTTACGGAATCAGAATAAAAGGGGTAGGATAAAAACAGAAATGTCGCATTAGCTCATGACAGTCAGGGTAGTTAGTAAGCACGTGAGAGGATCCAAGAGGGTCAGCCCCGGCGGCGTCATTTCTTACTGTTAAAGCTCCGCTCCCTCCTTTACTAAAGTCGAGCTTGCATAGAAGGCAGCGCAGTGAGATATTCATCCCATAATACAAATTTGTAGGTTATGTTAAAAAAAAAATTCAACTGTCCTCCTTACGTAGATTTGCTGCTAATTATTATCCTGCGACTGGAACGACGTAATTCAGTTGTACAAGACTTGGGTTCAGCATCTGCAAGAAACAATTAAGATTTACAACAATATAGGGTAAATAGGTAAACGGACATTTGAGGTTACGTCAATCGTACCTTTAGCATTGAAAAGTTGGGTCAGTGAAAAAGTTTATAATTATGTCCCACTGATTTATTTCTGTATTTTCTTAAAGGCCAAGGGATGACAGGGGTCCTTTCGTCATAGTCCCTTATTTGTTGGCTTGCTCCAACCCTTATCAAGAGACGAGAGTTTCAAGGTCATTTGGCTATTCACGTAACAAAACCACAACGGACACTCAATGATTGTCATTTTTATCTGCATTCGTAGAATTCACGTTCTGCCCCTTGTCTTCCCACAATGGAATGTATTTTGGTAGTGCAAGCTCCTTCAAGGTACACTACTTTATTGCAAGCTCGACCTTAAAAAGTGTGGATGGGTTAAGGGATGTGAATTTAATAAACATCAATGCCTGTTATACACTGGAATTGCTTTAGCTATCGTAGGATATTTTATAATGAATTCATTTAACAGCAGGAAAATTGCCGGACTGCGAAAGCTAAGACAAGAATGGTGAAAAAGTTGGTAGAAAAATTATTAAAATAATTTCAAGCTTTCAAGGTAACACGATGTTAACAAAAACTTTGAAAGAAGCTTAGCGCGAGTTATGATGACTACAGGAGCCTTACCGATAAGATACAGAGACATCGGACACCGGAGACCGAGGTGTCTTTATATGGAACGATCGAGAGGAAGGCAGTGAGAATTGACAGCTGAATCGAGCAGCATCACTCTTATTAATAATCATTTAGAATTAAGTTTATTTCGTAATCTTTTTAAAAAGTATAAATTCACATCGAACAACTTAATTCGCGTTCATTCTTTAATGTATACGTGGAATATTTACATATATAATAGGTCGTTTTAAAGGAAAATCGTGAGTCACTCTTCGATCGATCGATTGTATTAAAATAATTAATAAATAATATCTGAATACAATGCGTGACAGGTTAGGTTATACCTGTGTGAGATATATATATATATATATATATATATATATATATATATATCATATGTAATACGTTTGAAATTGAATACGTGAAACTAGAAATAGGTGTTAATTGTTAAGCGGTAAATCTGACAGGATTAATCTGATGAATCCAACTGCAATTCCTCATACTAAAGGATGCGGGCGGAAGTCGCGAAAAGCTTCCTCAGCTTTGCCGGAAGCTGGGATGAACTCTGTGGGTGGTGGGATAGGTTCTGGTTACTTACTTGCTAGATTGGAAGGGGATGGAGGGTGGAGACGTTGAAGGGATGATTCTAGGCTTGTTTGGAATTCAGCCAGGGAGGACGAAAGGGGGGGGGCTAGGGTAGTAGTCAGGGAGGAAAAGCATGTGGGTAGTAGTGGCAGGTAGAATATCAAAACGGTAATGGCAGTCCGCGTACTTCCGTTTCCGGAAGTTCAGCCCGGCACGTTTAATATCGGAAGCTTTTCGAAAAAAGGACATGTACAAGTCGCATTTAATTGCCCTCCTTAATCTTGCTGTCCGCCATAATTCGTATTAATGTTTTCTTAGGTCAACTGGAGCTTGTTTATTAATTTTTTGTTTTCATAATCATTTAAATGCATTTATTCCCTCTTTCAGTTTTAATACTGACTTATTATATTTTTATGAAAAATAATTTTACTTAATCCTTGTTTTTCAATTTTTTTATTTTTTCATGCAATGTTTACTGCTTTCTTTCCCTTGGACATTTTGAAACATAATACTTTACGCTGCTTTGCTCCCGCCGCTTTCCTTCTACCCTATTTTTGACTCCTATAGCGTTCGTTCTGGATTTTCAAGGGTAGCGGGGAATGGCAATCACTATAAACAAAATGAGGTTACGCCCGCGTTACGCAAAATTGTTATCACTGATAGGTGACAATTTTCACAATTTTCATTCCCATTGTACGTGCCGTCGGAATTATGGGTCTTGTCGCGAATAAATGAAAGTCTTTACCTATCTAATTCCCAACGTTATGCGCAAACAAGGTTTTCTGTATTGCAATAAAGTTCGCGATAGCAGTACAATTTTACGAATAAAATAATATATCTTATATACATATATAAGTGAACATCATACCCTATGTACTGTGACGTGATTTTTCGAATCACGGTCCCAAGGCGGCTCCGGTTACCGATACAGATAACGTTCTCGATTTCTGGTTCCCTTCGGGTCGCCACCCTGCTCAGAAGCTACGCTCTCGGGTTGATTCGTATAGTTATGTCAAGGCTCTCGTAAGATTTCGTTATTGTTCATTTGAGGTCGAGGTGCTCGAATCTGCCGTGGGGAGATAGTCTCGACGTACCGAGTTGCCCGGCAGAGGAGAGTACCGGACGGAGACGTCTCCACGGATCGGCAGAAGCCCGGGTGAAACACCGGCGCCCCAGTCAAGGAAAAGAATTACGTTACAGTAGATTGGTATGATACAGATATTTTAAAATTTGACAAAAAAATTATACTGCATACGATATCAACTTCCCCAAAATAATTCCTGAATATTCATTTCATAAGATTGAATAAAAATCACGGCGTTACGCTCTCTTTGTACAATGCATAGATATTAATACCGAAGGATTATCACAGATGGCGCGCGCTTCGTATAACTGTTTTGTTGCTCATCAAAATCATCAATGACCATTTTCAAAATTCAATATGTATATACCCTTGCTCCGTTTACAGTACGGCATTAACGGATTAACGGAATTCGATATTACTTGAAACAGTCTCTGGCTCCAGAACGTTCTAGAACCATTTGACATACACGATATCCTATTCCATTTACATATTACGATCTGCGCTTTGTTTAACAATACTTTCGCGCAGCAAACATATTACTTACACTATCTATCTAGCCTGCGTTACCTTGGCACCATACAATTCTATTTGAATGTCTCCTCCGCGAGTTACATCGTCGTCATTTTTAAATAACGGTGTGAATTTACTTAGTAGTTTCATTGCGACTATGTAATTCTCTCTCTATGTTGCGCTTCTGGCACTTCCGTTTCCGGAAAGCACTCCTGCGACCTTCTCATTCCAATTTTACATTATTACGTATTACCACAAGAAGCTTCAGCGTCTTTTTAATCCACCCTACTATACTAACCTCACCCCTATACAGGTGTAACATTTTCTAAAGTAACTCATGATCTTAACTTTGCGGGTCTTACAATTAGAGTCAGTTTTCCAAGTAACGCAATACTATTGTATGTAGCTCTTTTAATAAAGTTTTCATACTACAAGTTTAAAAGTTTCGACCTATACGTACGCACTTTTTAAAATTAATAGCAATTACCTAAGTACACCGTCGGCCATTTACCATCGATATGCAGATATTAGGGTTAATTTTGATATTTCTACATTTAAACGTCAGTATAGACGAACCTCCCCTGCTTGATGAATATTTAACCTTTCATTTATCTTTGGAGAGAAATATAAGGCTGGGAGCTTTCAGTCGTTGAGCTTTTTCGAAAGCTTCCCTGAACCTGAAAATTAGTATGCATTCTTCGGACTGTACTCCATAGGTTCATATGTGTATTCATATGAAATCTGGACCATCCACATTCTATAGCAGGACTAGCTGATTATTGATAACCTGGAGGGTGAATCATCCCCTAAGCCCAGCCTGGCCCAAGCGTGATGAAGAATAGGAAATATTGGTGGAGTTGCTGGAAATTACCTCGGGGAGTGCAGAGCGTACAGAATCACTTTCATCGTTTCTTTTTCTTTTTGTCTATGCTTTTTTTTTACCAGCATCCGTTTGGTGTTTCCTGTAAAATTTTTAGATCGATGACGACGAGGAAATGAATGTATGTGAACAAGATTATTTTAAATGATAAAACTGTATTTTAATTCAAATTATATGACTTTGACGGTAAATTTGTATCTGACACGTGAAAAATTATTGGTCTTGTAACTCTGTGCTTTTTATTAATATGATTTATAATACGTTGAAAAATACACGTTCGATGTTTTAGGATATTACGTTATGACTGATTGAAAAAAAGTGGGGGTTACGTAAGACTCAAGGTAGTTTTGCCTTAAAAATGTATAAATACTTATATACGATTTGAAAAGACAAAATTGAAAGGCTGTAAGCTCTAGAAAATATTTTCCCCTTGGGTTAATGGAGTTTCATATTGCAGTTGCATGTGAAATTGTGTTGGGGTTTATTATGTGGATTTTTATTCCTTTGGCTTTTATTCGCCATCGCTGCATCTTAAAGCACCTATGTATGTTCACAGGTGTGTTAATTTACGTTCGTGTTCATTTCGCAAAGCCAGAGGAAGTCTTGGTCACAATTGAATATCACAGTTGTTGAAAATTGTATGGAAATATCCTTTTTCTATTTTTTAAAATTTGCTTTTACGTTTTTTTTTTCTTTTTTTGTAACGTAGGTACACTCTTATGTTATCCAGTCACTCCTCACGGGACATGTCAATTAGCTCCCCAGTGACTAATCCCTAATTAACAGGGTTTTTGCCAATTCTGTAAACTCGCCTGCGTTTGCACTTCCAACTTTGTCCTAACGAGTAGCGTGACTTTTTCCCATCATACATCGTCAACCAATAGGTTTAATCAGAGACAGAGATACCTGTGATTATTTAATGACTTTTTTTCCATTTCCTTTTTTTACCCAAACAATTGAAAACAACATAAAGAGACGAGCCCATGAATTATTTAGTTTTCTTAATACAATCTTTTTCCATCTTCATCGCGTTTCCTCGTTTTCTTATTAAATATGTCTCACCGGATTTGATTTTTTATTTATTAATGTTTCATCATATTTTTTTTTATATGCCTAACAATATTTTCCTCTGTCTCTCATACTGGCTGGGTTTTCTATCTTGAATCTTTGAAAATGTGACAAAATTAAGGTAGATTATTTGTCTACCTATGAAGCGTTCATAAAGTTGATCCTTTGAGTTTTGCACTCTGTGTAGAGAAACATGCTATAGTGCTTACAGGAAAATTACGTAAAATGGAAATACTGTGTTTCGGTGATGATCCGCTGATTAATTTAAATTACGGCAATCCTTACCCAAGAAAGTCCAATGGCAGGGATGAGTTTCACCAGTATAGATAGTTAATAGTTGAGCGGAAGAAGCGATTTTGAATGCCAATTGAGCCTAACCGAAATTCAACGGAAGGTCGATCCATGAAAACGTTCAATAGATTTCCACAGTCTATATGAACTTCCGGTCGGATGTATTCGCATCCTGTTTTGCGCTCCTTGGAAATTTCCATAGCTCGAGTGTTTCTAGAAGCAATAAATGCCTTTGTATTTTCATAGCTAATGCCTTAACGTCTGTACTGATTACTCAAACTTTAAATATAAAACAAAATCAATGAAAACACTAATAATTAAAGTATTTAAAAAAAAACAATATTATTTTTCAATTTAAGCTGAGATTACTTTTTTTTTTTAAAGGGAATAGTATCAAAAGATTTTTTGTCTCTCTTACCTTCTGCACTTCAAAATCCAATATATTCGAATAGCTAAAATTCCCTCTGTAATTTGACTCGGTCGTATTCTATTCCAAAATTTCATTCGTATTTCAAATGTGCAGGGTCAGCATATCGAATTTGATCTGTTCACTGTTCAAAATAAAAAATTAGTATTATAAATACTCCAACCAAAATATTTAATCTAATAAAATAAACGCGTTTTCGCGGAAATAATTGATATTAAGTGAGAAGAATATTAATTCGACAGAGGTGCCCTCTGTTGGCCGTTGTTGACACTAACAAATTATCGTCAGTTTTCTTCCGCATAGTTAGCCTTCTATTGTTTCTCTTTGATTCGTGCTCTACCAGTACATGAATACTGAGAGGGCTAGCTAAGCTGTACCGTTACAATACATTATTTCGAATTTAATCCTACGTTTTACAAAATCTCTATCAGGGCTCTTTATACTAAATTTCATCCAGTGCCGTGGACTCTCACCTGCCTGCCTTCTTATATTTCGCTTCGTTGGAAGGTTAAGATCATCTAACGAACGGTGGGTAGGGACCTGTCAAAATGATCGTAACTTTGACAGTCACTGTTATAGCCGGCAATGTGCATGAGGTCGACATTTTCCATTATTGAATCGTCAAGGGATTGATTTGGGCGGGAAACGAAAGCGATTCGAATCCAATCGAATTCGTACGGAAGGTTAAAGCCCTTCTAATCCTCTTAAAGCTCAACGGTGAACCCACCCTTAGCTTAACGTAATATCATAAGACATTTATTTATCACGTTACATTCGACAATCTCGTTCTCGTCTTGACTGCCATACATATTCAAATCCGTTTCTCTACCAAATCTTGAATAAAATTAAATGGAACTGTGTTGGCGAGGGGAACTGGGGAATACTTGCGTGGAGGGAAAGATATGTGAAAAATAATAAGTCTCACACGTTATAATATATTGATACATGATCAAAACATATCAAAAAAAAAAAAGAAACCCATATACCTTGGAAAGGGTGGACTTTGCGTACTTTCAATGCCACTCCCCCCCCCCCC